AGACTGTGCACACACAGCCATTCAGCATCAGTTGACTTGTTACCGGTACACTGACTTCAAACTTCAGCGAGCCCTAATGTCAACATTCAAGAGTTGTGGGCAAATCTATTAAACGACGTTTTCAGAATGTTGCAGGAAGTAGCTCCCGCAAACAAACCACAAGCTGAAGATTGAGAGAACGTTTTTAGCTAAGATGGCGACCAAGTCACCGCATCAGAGCGAGCCCGCAAATAGGACAGCCATTTGGCTCCACCAAGTAGAACAGACCAAACCCGTTCGAGAAGTATTCAGCTCACATCAACCTAGATGTATCTTTCAGATAAAGCGGGCGTCGATCTGCATTCTTTCGACAGCTAAACAGAGAACATATTCAAACGTACAAAGACAACGGCTACATTACTTATCAAATGAATTCCAGCACAACGTTGGGGGCTACTCTCGGGTTGCAAGGAGACCCATTCTTTTGGGGTGCTTGTAATCATACAGTGCTTATTTGAAGCTAAAATTGATGGCAACCGAGTAACAGCAACGTCTCCATTTACATTTGACAACCCATAGTTTGATACGTGTCAGAGGACTGGAATCACAATAACTTGGTGTGAACCATGCCTGGATGATCACACAATATAAATCTATTCGGCATAATGGAAATGGCGACGTATTTCCTATGGTCCGGAAGGGTTTATTCCTGCTAACCATTTAAAACGCAAGACTCTTCCAAACTTGAGGGAAGAATAGAAATGTACATTTGGGTTTGTTTTTGAGCAAAACTCAGCGTGAAATAACAGTGAGGTAACACTCATTTATGAGGACTCCAGATATGACGAATTTAAAACCCTCACCATAATATCCACTGATGGTTTTTTTCTCAATATGCATGTTTACTAGAATCCATGTAGAACCTCATGGAATTTAGTCGGCTGCAACGTGCAGGCCCAACGTAAACTTGAACATGGTGGGAGACATAATAAACGGTGTACCCATCTGACAGTAGGCGATGCGATGGATTAGAAAGTGATTACCGGTCGCTTTTTAGCAGGCTGTTACAGGACTTCGTGCTCAGATATGTTTGTGGAAGATTTTGCGAGATTATTGCTCGGAGCTGATCAGTTGAATGGTTTGGTAGCCGATGTTATATGCAATAAACAACCAAGCATCGGAAATCCTAGTGATTGTCACTCTGGAGCAGTAACGTGGGAAGTGATATTCCGACTGGGCACGTTTACTCCTAATCTTGAGGAATTAGCAAAGCTTTACTAATAATACTAAGACCAATACTAATAATACTAAAGAGAATAATACTTTATAATACTCAAAAAGCGCTGATACCTGTGCGAATGGATACACTGGAACCGATGCGCTACATGCGGTGAAGCGCATATGAGTACCGTACGGTACTACTATATGCGCTCGGCGCTGAACTATATACCTGACAACCCACAAGCCGGAGGGTACACATTACGACAGCGTGAACTCGCGCTTCTAGGATTACATGATTACTCCTTGCTGGGAGCGCCGATGCCATGAAACATAGATAGTGCTCATCACCTGAATCCCGACTTCTTATAATCTGGTTT